AAGTGGCCTACAGTTGGCTTCGGGCATTCAAAATGTGGCCTGGGAATGGAGTTCTGGGAGGACGAAGAACACGAAGTGGCCTACAGTTGGCTCCGGGCATTCAACATGTGGCCTGGGAGTGGTGTTCTGTTGGCTCCGGGCAGTCAAAATCTGGCTCCTGGGAGTGGTAATGGGGAGTCCCCGGTTTTCCCCGGCATCCGTCCGGATCCCGCCCAGACCCCCCTCGGGAGTCATGATGTTCTCTTTTGACACTACTAGAAACCCATCAGTCTTCGCTGTTAGGTAAAACATCCCGGCAAAGCAACCTAACAGCGATGTGTAGGAGCATATCTGGAAGCATTCCCCATCAGATTCAGATGAGAATCCTGTTGTAGAATTCTGCTGTTCTCGCAGTCGTAGTCGCATTCGCGATGGCAGTCGCAGCGGCAACGGCAGTCGCAGTCACAGCCTCAGTCTCAGCCTGCCTCAGCCTCAGCCGCAGCCTGCCTCAGTCTCAGCCTGCCTCAGCCTCAGCCTCAGCCTGCTTCAGCCTCAACATCAGTCTGCCTTCAGCCTCGGCCTCAGCCTCAGCCTGCCTCAGCCTCACCCTGCATCAGCCTCAGCATCAGCCTCAGCCTGCCTCAGCATCAGCCTGCCTCAGCACAGCATCAAGCCTGCCTCAGCCTCAGCGTGCTTCAGCCTCACCCTCAGTCTGCCTTCAGCCTCGGCCTCAGCCTCAGCCTGCGTCAGCCTCAGCCTGCCTCAGCCTCAAGCCTCAGCCTCAGCCTGCCTCAGCGTCAGCCTGCCTCAGCCTCAGCCTCAGCCTGCCTCAGCCTCAGCCTCAGCCTGCTTCAGCCTCAGCCTCAGTCTGCCTTCAGCCTCGGCCTCAGCCTCAGCCTGCCTCAGCCTCAGGCAGCATCAGCCTCAGCCTCAGCCTGCCTCAGCCTCAGACTGAGCATCAGCCTGCCTCAGCCTCAGCAGGCCTCAGCCTCAGCCGTCAGCCTCAGCCTCAGCCTGCCTCATCCTCAGCCTCAGCCTCAGTTGCCTTCAGGCTCGGCCTCAGGCTCAGCGGCGCAGCCTCAGCCTGCATCAGCCTCAGCCAGCCCTGCCTCAGCCTCAGCCTGCCTCAGCCTCAGCCTCAGACCTGCCGCCTCTGAAAGCCCTCAAGATCAAGTCTCATCAGTCGGCTGATGAGCCTTCGCCTCGCCTCAGCCTCAGCCTAGCATGAACCTCAGCCCAGCCTCAGCCTGCCTCAGTATCAGCCTGCCTCAGCCTCAGCCTAGCCTGCCTCAGCCTCAGCCTCAGCCTGCTTCAGCCTCAGCCTCAGTCTGCCTTCAGCCTCGGCCTCAGCCTCAGGCTGCCTCAGCCTCAGACTGCATCAGCCTCAGCCTCAGCCTCAGCCTGCCTCAGCATCAGCCTGCCTCAGCCTCAGCCTCAGCCTGCCTCTGCCTCAGCCTCAGCCTGCTTCAGCCTCAGCCTCAGCCTGCCGTCGGCCTCGGCCTCGGCCTCAGCCTGCCTCAGCCTCAGCCTGCATCAGCACAGCCTCAGCCTCAACCTGCCGCAGCATCAGCCTGCATCAGCCTCAGCCTCCAGCCTGCCCTCAGCCTCAGCCCTCAGCCTGCCTCAGCCTCAGTCTGCCTCAGCCTCAGCCTCAGCCTGCTTCAGCCTCAGCATCAGTCTGCCTTCAGCCTCGGCCTCAGCCTCCGCCTGCCTCAGCCTCAGCCTGCATGAGCCTCAGCCTCAGCCTCAGCCTACCTCAGCATCAGCCTGACTCAGCCTCAGCCTCAGCCTGCCTCAGCCTCAGCCTCAGCCTGCTTCAGCCTCAGACTCAGTCTGCCTTCAGCCTTGGCCTCAGCCTCAGCCTGCCTCAGCCTCAGCCTGCATCAGCCTCAGCCTCAGCCTCAGCCTGCCTCAGCATCAGCCTGCCTCAGCCTCAGCCTCAGCCTGCCTCAGCCTCAGCCTCAGCCTGCTTCAGCCTCAGCATCAGTCTGCCTTCAGCCTCGGCCTCAGCCTCAGCCTGCCCCAGCCTCAGCCTGCATCAGCCTCAGCCTCAGCCTCAGCCTGCCTCAGCATCAGCCTGCCTCAGCCTCAGCCTCAGCCTGCCTCAGCCTCAGCCTCAGCCTGCTTCAGCCTCAGCCTCAGTCTGCCTTCAGCCTCGGCCTCAGCCTCAGCCTGCCTCATCCTCAGCCTGCCTCAGCCTCAGCATCAGCCTGCCTCAGTATTCAAAATGTGGCCCGGGAATGGAATTCTGGGAACTCGAAGAACACGAAGTGGCCTACAGTTGGCTCGGGCATTCAAAATGTGGCCCGGGATGAGTTCTGGGCACCGAAGACCACGAAGTGGCTGGGGGTGGGTGGGGACTACAGTTGGCTTTCCGCGGGAATCCAAAATGTGGCCCGGGATTGTAGTTCTGGGAACTCGAAGAGCACGAAGTGGCCTACAGTTGGCTCCCTACAGTTGGCTCCGGGCATCCAAAATGTGGCCCGGGAATGGAGTTCTGGGAAGTGGCCTACAGTTGGCTCCGGGCATTCAGAATGTGGCCCGGGAGTGGAGTTTTGGGACCTCGAAGACCACGAAGTGTGTAACTGTTGGCTAAATTATCCCGGCAAAGCAACCTAACAGTGATGTGTAGGATCATATCTGGAAGCATTCCCCTTAAGATTCAGATGAGAATCCAGTTGTAGAATTCTGCTGTTCTCGCAGTCGTAGTCGCATTCGCGATGACAGTCGCAGTGGCGACGGCAGTCACAGTCACAGCCTCAGCCTCAGCCTGCCTCAGCCTCAGCCTCAGCCTGCCTCAGCCTCAGCCTGCCTCAGCCTCAGCCTCAGCCTGCTTCAGCCTCAGCCTCAGTCTGCCTTCAGCCTCAGGCGTCAGCCTCAGCTGCCTCAGCCTCAGCCTGCATCAGCCTCAGCCTCAGCCTCAGCCTGCCTCAGCATCAGCCTGCCTCAGCCTCAGCCTCAGCCTGCCTCAGCCTCAGCCTCAGCCTGCTTCAGCCTCAGCCTCAGTCTGCCTTCAGCCTCGGCCTCAGCCTCAGCCTGCCTCATCCTCAGCCTGCCTCAGCCTCAGCATCAGCCTGCCTCAGCATTCAAAATGTGGCCCGGGAATGGAGTTCTGGGAACTCGAAGAACACGAAGTGGCCTACAGTTGGCTCCGGGCATTCAAAATGTGGCCCGGGAATGGAGTTCTGGGAACTCGAAGAGCACGAAGTGGCCTACAGTTGGCTCCGGGCATTCAAAATGTGGCCCGGGAATGGAGTTCTGGGAGCGCCAAGAGCGATTTTGCGAGGATGTCCCAAGCGATTTCGGCTTCGGCGGCAGCCGCCCCGGGTCCCGCCCCGACCCCCCTGAGGAGTCATGATGCTTTCTTTGAGACCACTAGAAACCTATCAGTCTTCGCTGTTAGGTAAAAAAGTCCCCGTCACTCCCCCGGATCGCGCCCAGACCCCCCTGGGGCGTCATGATGCGTTCTTTTGACCCTACTAGAAACCTATCAGTCTTTGCTGTTAGGTAAAAACAGGACGCCGCATGTCTCCTCCAGCTCATCCTCCGCCTCGCCCCCTCCGTCCTCCTCCAGCTCATCCTCCGCCTCGTCCCTCTGTGATCCTCCAGCTCATCCTCCGCCTCGTCCCTCCCTCCTCCAGCTCAACCTTCTCCCCGTGCCTTCCGCCCCCTTCCTGGAGACCTCCTCTCCTGCCCTCTACAGCCCAGACGCGGCTGACTTGAGGACCACCTCATGCTCGGGAGTGGCTGTGGGTTTTGGGCGGCTCCTTGGATCTACTTCGGTCGGGGAACCTACCCGTGGACGAGGCTCGCCGTGGCGAGGAAAATCACCTTCGTTCCCTTTTGTTTTACCGCTCCGTGTGGTAGCGGCCCGGCTGTGCCGCTTCTCGCCTCATCTCCGCTTTGGCTGTTACAGTCAGCCCGCATAGTAAGGATGGGCAACCTTCCCGAGGGCACCCTTGCATCCTTGCCCCTTCGGCCCATTCTTAGCGACTTTTGCTGGCCAGCCTCGTTCGAAAAACGTTAACATGGGCCTCCAAGGCCGTTGCATCCTTACCGCGCATCCTTGTGATACGGGTTGACTGTACTCCCAGTTCCCTTCTTCCCTCATGCCCTTCGTGTCCTGCTCGCAGGTGGACACTGCAGCAGAGTCCACGGGAGGTGGTCGTCCTCCGCGGCGTCCTGCTCCTGCTCCCACTCCCGATCCTAAGGCAGGTTCGCGGCGCGTCCACCCCGCGGCGATCCCAGCGCGGGCGTTCAAGAGTGAGCGCTGCCGGCGCCACTGTCCCCGAATCGGCCGCCGTCAAACGATCGGCGCTATACGAAAGTCGCGATCGTTCAAGGCTGAACGATCCGCGCGGTGGCTATGCTGGAAACCAGCGCGCGAGTCGTCGCGGCACCAGCTTGCGGTATTCCTTGGGATCCGAAATTGCGAACGGAATGCAACATCGCGAAAGATTGCGCACAGAGTCCTGTACCTTTCGTTTCTGCGTTATTTTTTGAGCTGGATCGATTTTGCGCCGCCGCCGCCGCTGGCGCCGCCGCCGCCGCCGCCGTCGTCGTCGCCGTCGTCGTCGTCGTCGTCGTCGTCGTCGTCGTCGTCGTCGTCGTCGTCGTCGTCGTCGCCGTCGTCGTCGTCGCCGTCGCCGCCGTCGGCGCCCTCGGCGCCGTCGTCAACGTCGGCGTCGTCAGCGGCGTCGGCGGCAGCGGCGTCGGCGGCCGCGGCGGCGAAGATCGGCGGGGTCGCGGACGAGGGCGAAGATCGGCGGAGGCGCGGACGACGGGGCCCGAGGCCAGACAGAAACGCCCGTCGTAAACAAAAACGAGCAACGTGCGGATTTGAGGGTCGTCCTCACCCTCCCCCTTCGTTTTCCCTGTGCACGTCCTCCGCGTTCCCCTTGCCAGCCTGCTGCTTCTTCTGATGCTCCCGCTGCTCCCGCCCGCAAGTCGAGTGATCGGCGGGCCCTCGGGCCGGAGGAGGAGGAGGAGGAGGAGGAGGAGGAGGAGGGCCCCCCCCCGAGGAGTACATGCTCCTCTTTGTCAAGATGACCGCGGCCGAGCGGCAGGACCTCGCTGCAGGCTGTGCGGCGGCGGGGGGGGTGAGGGAGACCGGGCTGGGAGTCCCCCTCCTCCTCCTCTTCCTCCCGTTGAGCTCGAACCTCCTCTCCCTCATCCCTGTCATCCCTGTCAGCCCCTGCCCTCCTTTGGTCGGGCTGGGCGTGGGGAGGGCCATGGGGGGGGCGGTTGGGAAGCACGCTGAGGAGGCCGACGGGGAAGCAGTAGGGCAGGACTTCGGGAGGGGCGTCGGGAGGGAGGCGTGGCGTGGGATGCGTCGAGATGCAGCCATGCCTTTCAGGTTTCAGGTGTCATGCGAGCGCCACAGAGTGACCAGAGCAGTGGCAACTTCGAGCCTGATTGGAGCAGTGACGACGATGATGATGATGACGATGACGATGACGATGAGTGTGAAGATGACAATGCCGACGACGACGATGACGATGACGATGACGATGATGATGATGATGATGATGATGATGATGATGATGATGATGATGATGATGATGATGATGATGATGATCGTGGTGATGATGATGATGCTGATGTTGATGCTGATGTTGCTGCTGCTGATGATGATTATGATTGGTGATGGTTCTTGTTATGTTGATGCTGCTGCTGCTGATGTTGTTGATGATGATGCCGATGGTGGGGATGCAGATGGTAACGTAATGATGTTGCTGCTGATGATGGTGATGATGCTGCTGCTGATGATGTTGATGATTATGATGCTGAGGATGACGATGGCTGTGGTGGTGGTGATGGTAGTGATGGTGATGGTGTTGCTGCTGCTGATGATGATGCTGCTGCTGATGATTACGATAGGGATGACGATCCCGATGATGATAATGATGATGATGATGATGATGATGATGATGATGATGATGATGATGATGATGATGATGATGATGATGATGATGATGATGATGATGATGATGATGATGATGATGATGATGATGATGATGATGATGATGATGATGATGATGATGATGATGATGATGATGATGATGATGATGATGATGATGATGATGATGATGATGATGATGATGATGATGATGATGATGATGCTGCTGATGATGATGATGATGATGATGACGATGATGACGATGATGATGATGCTGATGATGATGATGATGATGATGCTGATGATGATGCTGCTGCTGATGATGCTGTTGCTGATGTTGATGCTGATGCTGATGCTGCTGATGATGATGATGATGATGATGATGATGCTGATGCTGATGCTGATGCTGATGCTGATACTGATGTTAATGCTGATGATGAGGATGGTGATACTGCTGGTGCTGCTGCTGATGATGATGACGACGATTATGATGAGGATGATCGTGGTGATGATGGAGGAGGAGGAGGAGGTGGAGGAGGATCTCAGCACGCATCACCGACATCCCACTGGTCACGTGTGGAATCTTCGGGATTCGCTGGCACGAATGCGGCAGCTCCATCGGAGACGTTCGCAACATATCCAAAACGCACCACTATCGTGTCACGCAACAACCACAACCAGGTCCTAGTCTACAAGGAGCTGGACACAGACACCGACACAGCACTGCGACCAGACGACCAGGCCCATATCCCAGGACCATTCGGGATCCCACTAGAGCAGAAGGTGGGCGCTTGTAAACCTGACTCAGGGCAGCAGGCCAAGGTTACCAACCACGCCACGACGCCAACCGACCCAGCAGCAACCGAGCGGCCGATCTGCTTCAAGGCACCGTCCAGCAGACAGTCACGAAGCACACCCGCCAGACGCAGAAACGCAACGCCCGTAGCGCGCAGAGATGGACAAGCCGAGTGCGCTGCATCACCAGCACCGCTGGGCGTCAGCCTCCAACCACCTCCAGTCAAGGCCGCGCCACTCCAGCTGGAGGTTTAGCTGAAGAGAAGCACATGACATACGGCGAAAGAGCGGCTTGGGTCCAGCACCGTCAAGCACAGCCAGCAACACAAGACTTGGACACACGGGTCAGTACGACTGACGACGAGCATACTGACGACCACCACGAAGCGGGAGCATTGGGCCAGGCAAATGCCGCAGACAGAGCAGCACAGCACGGGAGAGCAACAGCCAGACGACACCTCCGTATACGTGCACACGAGGCAAAGACATGCCCAATGCAGGCCTCTGCCCAGGCAGCCTGGTGGCCAAAGACCAGCACACTGGTGATGTCTAAACGAGGTGCGCAGGGCCGCTTAGAGCTGGCAGGCAGACCCTGACACAGAAGCACACAGAGTGGGAAGTACAATACGGCGAGGGGAACACATGCTCACCTGGCTCCACTCGGAACCCGACCGGCAGCCAGGGTGCCCTCTCGGATTGGGCATGAGGGGGAGCGCACCACCGACCCACTGACCTGCCCTGGCCAAGCCGATGGAGACGACGCGAAGACAGGGGAGCCAATACAGACACCGCACCGCGCAGAACCGCAAGAGGACGGCCAAGATCCGAATCACTCGACCTGATCATGGCGCTCCTACAGGCACTGCGTCCGACTCTACGGCATTCAAGCAGGGCGCCCACATGAGCGGACGCCTCCTTCGCTCGCGCGCACGGGCGAGTGCACCAGAGACCACCGTGCACATGGCGGCCCCAGCAGCAGCAGCTCCAGCAGCAGCTGCAGCGCACACCCCACCGGCAGCCCCCCACCGCCAGAACGACGCGACGTGCTGAGCACACGGCCCCGGCGCGGCACCGGCCCTCCGCGGGCCAGCGGCGACCACCGCGGGCAGGGCGAGCGACGAGGCCCCTGTCCGCCGAGGCCCCCGCCGCGCGCTCGGTCGACGCCGAGACCGCCGCGTGCTCGGTCGACGCCGACCCCCTCCCCGGTGCCGCGGGCTGGGCCTGTGGCACGAGCCCCGCTCCCAGAGGCGCACCAGCACACAACTGCGCACTCAGAGGTTCCACGAGGCCTTCCACGGAAGCCCGAAGAGGCACAGCTCGTTGTTTTTCCAATCGTTTTTTGACGGATTTTAGAGGCTTCAGCCTTTTGGCATCCCGACGCTCCAAGACGGCCCAAGAGGCCCCCAAGTCCGCTCCAAGATAGCCCAAGAGGCCGCAAAGAGGGCCCCGAGACGGCCCACGAGCCTCGACGCGACGTCCACGTCGAGGGTCCGCTGCCGTCGTCCCGGCGGAGCGCGGCCGCTCTTCGCGCCCTCTGCCCAGCTCTGCGCCGACCCGACGAGGACACCTCTCACGCCTTGCTGGCTCCTACACGACCTGTACTCGGCGTCACCCCAACATACTTCTACTACGTGTGTGTCGCCCCCCCAGGGGGACGCGCGCACCGAGAAATCTTGCAGTAGATGCGTCTTGGCGGGCGCTTTCTGGCCACACCGCCCGGGAAACGATCTACTACAAGACGGGTACACTATCTGTTCGGGTCGGACGCGCGCCTCCAAGGAGAACACATAGTACTAGTACAGTGGGGGCGCGCATCAAGAAACCATATTCTTCTCGTCAGGATATCCTGGGTTTCTTCGCTCCGCGCGCTGCGCGGCGACCTCCCGCGGCCGTTGAAGGAGCTCCTGCGTTCAGAGTGCTCCAGGTTTCCCCTCCGGTGCACTTCGCGCGCGGGTTTTCAGGGTTGGGTTTCTTGCGAGGGTTTCCTGCGGCCGCGCTCGCACTCCATGTCTTTGCGCGTCCCATGTATTGGGCCGTTTTTAATACATGCTCCGCGTGCGGATCATGTATGAAACATGCAGGGATGTGGTAAAACAGCGATGAGTTCATGCATACATGTATTCACACATTAATTTAATGTATTAAAAAAAATTCGAAATTTTCAAAAATCCCATATTTTTAACCCTAACATAACATGTATTTAGAATTCCTACTCGTGGGGGGTAGGGGTAGGGTTCGCATGTGGCCCCCCTAAAAAAAACACACACAATCAAGCGTCGGTTCCCCAGAAAATTTATGGGAGAATACGGGAAGTGGGGGGGGGGTGAGGCAAAAACCCAGAAGATATGGGGAAATATGGGGAATCCTGTTCTTTTTGTGTCCCAGGGCCCCTTCAACGTTGCATAAACATTACCCGAGACATACCCAACCCTTTCTCAACACGAGTCGACAATTGAAAGGAACGCTGCGTACAAAAGAACACGTGGCAATGACACTCACTCTGCTCCGCTGGACCTCCCAGGAGCCCATGATGGTGGCAACACTTGCGCACTGCGCCCCCCCAGGAAACCGCGAGGTCTCGACTCGGTCTGCGTGCTCCCCCACTCTGCTGAGCCTCCCAGGAGCCCAAGAAGGTGGCAACAGTTGCGCAGTTGACAGTCCCCCAGGGGACCGCGAGGTCTCAGCTGGATGTGCGTACTCCCCCACTCCGCTGGGTTCTCAAGAGCCTGCGAAAATGGCGACAGTTGCACAGTTCGCAGCCACCAAGGGAGCCGCGAGGTCCTGTCTGAATGCGCGTGCTCCCCTACGTCGCCGTGCTTCCCAGGAGCCCACGAAAGTGGCGACAGTTACGCAGTTCGCAGCCACCCAGGGAGCTTCGAGGTCTTGTCTGACTGCGCGTACTCCCCGACTCCGCCGTGCTTCCTATGAGCCCACGACAGTGGCGACAGTTGCGCCGCCGTGCCTCCCAGCAGCCACGATAGTGGCGACATGTGCGCAGTTCGCAGGGAGCAGCGCAGGAGGAAGCAGGAGGATGGAGGATGAGAAGAAGGAGTCGCGACCGCAGTGCTCGAATCAAAACGAGAACTCCACACAGGAAGGATTTGGGAGAACTTTCAGAGATCCGTGCGGATTTCTTGGATCTGCGCTGGACCCCCCCTTGCGGCGCCTCCCGCGCCGATCCAAGATGTCCGCGCGCACCGTCAAGCGTTTATGTATATTTCCGGGAGTCTCGATCCTTTCCCCAGTTTCTTTGGTGTTTTTTGTTTATTGTTGTTGTTGTTGTTGTTGTTGTTGTTGTTGTTGTTGTTGTTGTAATGTTTGTTGTTTGTTGTTTGTTGTTTGTTGTTGTTGCTGCTGCTGCTGTTGCTGTTGTTGTTGTTGCTGC